CCACATTTGCAATCGCAGCCCAAAAGATCAGAGGCAGAGTAGCAAAATCCTCACTGGAGACCAGATAGGGAAAGGGAGATGACTAGGGAGGTCTCAGACTAGACGTTGTTATTGCTAGGTTTCTGCCAGCAAAATTTTAAAGTACTAGTTTTTTAAATCTTGAACGGGTTTTGGTTTACATTGGAATGTATTTAATGTGCTTATAAAGGTTGTATGTTATTGATGTCATGGCCTATGGCTAGTGCAATAAACTTTATTCACATGCAGATATCAGCCAGCAAGCCAATGCCTTAAATCAAGAAATAGTTATAGCAGATAATCTGGGATCAGATCCTGGGATATAAGGTAGTTTAGAAGAGTCATCAGTCATAGGAAAAAACTCTCCCAGTGACCTTGGCAAGTCCCACTCTCTTGGACTCAGAGGAAGGTGGCAGCAAAATCCCTTTTAAAAAGTCATGGCAAGATAAACTCCAGGACAGTGACTCAGAAGTGACTTGACAACAAAAACAATAAGTGCATACAGAGGCGGCCCTAGGTAATTTTCAATGGTAAGCAAACAGTATTTTGGCGCCCCCCCCCCCCCCAAAACCAATCACTATCTATCTATCTATCTATCTATGGGGGCATGGACAAATTTTGGCCCTCCAGGTATTTAGGACTTCCTACTGGCTGTTTGGAATTGTGGGAATTGAAGTCCAAAACACATGGAGGGCTGAAGTTGGCCCATGCCAGCCATACATACACACACACACACACTAGCCATCCCCTGCCACGCGTTGCTGTGATCCAGTCTAGTGATCTTGAAAAGAAAGTAATAAGAAAGTTGGTTTCTAATATATGTAATTTCTTAATGCTTGTGGGTAAATAGTATTTCTTGTTGTTTCTTTGTCAGTGTTGATGTAGTTCCAACACAAAATACTGAAGGGATTTGGGGAAAATAGACTCTGATACTGGAGGGGTTTTGGGGAAACATGTACAATAATTTAGATTTGCAGTACCTTCAGTCACTTCCGTTCATGAAGAAACCACCTTGCCGCCCTGAGAGGGGTGATGGCACAGCTGCCTGGAGAGGCACTTGCAATGCTGCCCCTCTTCACACAGGAGAAGAGGCCCTGTGCTCCATCGGCCCCTGGGTATGCGCTTTGCATTCTCTTCCCCCACACGCTTTGCAACTCAGGGAGAGGGACACGCGCCGGCATTACCAGGCGCACGGAAAAAGAGCCCTCATGCAGGGAGCATGCTCTCCCTCCATCCTTCCCTCACAAGTGCGCACGTTGTCCTCCTCTCCTCCTCCTCCTTGCAGGCCAAGGGAGACAACAACACCAGTGTGCATCCTTCTCCCAGCGTTAGGAAGTGCATGGAGAAGGAGGGCGATGCAGGGCGCACATTTCCTAATGCCGAGAGAGGGATGTGCAGCGGCATTGCCGGGCACGTGGGAAAAGAGGCCTCGTGCATGCCTCTTTTGTGTTTCATCTTGGGTGCTATCTTTGTGTCATTGTGTATGTAAACAGCTATCCCATGATCCCAAACATTTTATTTATTTATTTACAGTATTTGTATACCGCTTTTCTCACCCTCAGGAGGACTCAAAGTGATTTACACACTTCTAGTTCAAAGCACTTTGGATCAGGGATACTCAACCTGTATTACATTACAAACTGCTAGACCGGCTGTTAGGTATTGTGGGAGTTGAAGTCCGAAACACCTGGAGGGCTGAAGTTTGCTCTTGCATGTGCTTGACCCAGAAGCAGATGAAGAGCCCTCCTTCCATCCAACTGCCACTGCTTTGGCCTTGGAGAAACAGGTGGCATGTGAAGCCATGGAGCCCTTCCAGACAGGCCCTATGCCGCATTATCACAGGGTGTTTACGCCCTACACCACTGGAAAAATTATACTGCCTAGCCGGTATTGCGCCACCTGACATCCGCCGGGAAGTGGCGGCCAATAGTGAAAGGACCAAGGCAGAGACATCTCCAGCTCATCCCCTGTTTGGGTATCAGCCAGCACGTCAACGACTTAAATCAAGAAGTAGTTTTCTAAGATCTACAGAGACACTCGCTGGAACACCTCAGCAAGCGAGAGTCCAAAAGTGGCAGGCTCAAACCCATTGATACCAAATGAGAGACTCCCCCCTGGGCACACAGAGGACTGGGCGACTTGGAAGGCGCTGAACAGACTGCGCTCTGGCACCACGAGATGCAGAGCCAACCTTCAGAAATGGGGCCACAAAGTGGAATCCTCGACATGCGAGTGTGGAGAAGAGCAAACCACTGACCACCTGCTGCAATGCAACCTGAGCCCTGCCACATGCACAATGGAGGACCTTCTTGCGGCAACACCAGAAGCACTCCAAGTGGCCAGATACTGGTCAAAGGACATTTAATCAACTACCATACTCACAAATTTTGTAATCTGCTTGTTTTGCTTTGTTCTGTTAGAAATGTAACATAATTTGACTGGTTGTTCTGACATGACAAATAAATAAATAAATCCCAGGTTTTCAGCTTTAAACTGGATCATATGAGTCCACTCTGCCAGATAATCCAGGATAAACAGAAAACCTGCAATCACATCCTGGGATATAGGGCCTGTCTGGACAGGCCCTTCATCCCTTCCCACACTGGCATCCCTTTGCCTTTGTGTCATGTTTTAATTAAATTATACACCTAAGGGCAGGGGAGCATTTTGTTGTTGCTTTACTCGTACAGTGACAGTGTTACACAGTTGGTGTTCTGCAACCACTGCTTCAACCATCCATGGTTTGAAAACATTTTTTTTTTAAAAAATCCCAAAGCAGTCTTTGATTTTGCCACTTTGTACTGTGGAAATATAAATATAGAGCTCCATAGTGTCTCGTCCAACAGCAGTTGGGATTGAGCCCTGGAACTGATGGAAGGATAAGTGGAAGGACAAGAGTTAGCAACCCAAAAGACACTGCTGCAAAATGTAATTGCTAAAATATCAAAGTCAAAATATTATCCAAATTTAAACTATTCGGCCAGCAATGGAAAGGAATCACACAGGATCATATTTTTGCAGTCCATTAAGTGTGTTGATGACAAATCAGATAAAGGAATACTGGGGAAATTAATATAAAGCAGTGTGTATAAAGGGACATTACATTTGGTAATCTAATGCAGGCTTTAAAAGGTTTTAAAGATCAAGTCAGGGTCTGCTGCAGTTTTTAGTTTTGGATATGTTTTTTATGGATTTTAACTGAATTTTTAAAATACCAATGATATTTAATTCCATTTTAATGTTTGCATATTTGTGGATTTTAAACTGTACTGAAATGTTTTTAATCTAAGCCAACTTGAGTCTTCTTGGGGAGAGAAAAAGCAGGGTATAAATAAACATAATAATGTGTTGTGGAAGGCTTTCATGGCCAGAATCACTGAGTTGCTGTGAGTTTTCTGGGCTGTATGGCCATGTTCCAGAAGCATTCTCTCCTGACATTTTCCCCACATCTATGGCAGGCAACCTCAGAGGAACAAAATCTGGCTACCAGTACCCTCTAAAATAACCCTCTAAAATCAAAACAATAAATAAAGAGCAACACTAAAAAAGGGGGGGAATTCCTGACATGAAGCAATCAGGGCCAGTTAACCGCTCCCAACAAAGGATTCCTGGGCAGCAACTAGCTCGGCTTCGAAGCTGCAAGGCCATTAAATACTCATCAAGATGACCAATTGCAACATTCACACTTACCTCAAGCAGACATGAGTTCTTTTTCCCACCCTGGACATTCCACAGATATACAAACCCCACTTGCCTAGTTACAAACAGACCTCACAGCCTCTTGAGGATGCCTGCCATAGATGTGGGTGAAACATCAGGTGAGAATGCTTCACCAAGCACCAAAGAGCATTCTGAACTCCACCAATAATAGAACTGAACCAAACTTGGCATACAGGATTTCCATGACTAACAGAAAATACTGGAGAGGGGGTTGGGAAAAATAGACCCTGACATTTGGGAATTGCAGTTTACCAAGCACCAAAGAACATTCTGAGCTCCACCAACAATAGAATTGAACCAAGCTTGGCATATAGGACTTCCATTACCAAATACTAGAGGCGTTTGGGGGAGGCATGTACAAAAGATGACATTTGCAGTACCTTTTGACCAGGCCTCCTTGCTGCCCTGAGAGGGGTCCAGGCTCAGCTGCAGGGAAGGAAAGGGAAAGCGAAAGAGCCTGGCTGGCTGCCTCCTGGCAGCACGTGGAGGGAGGACTTCCCTCTCGCCTAGTGGGCGGGGCCTGCGCTTCTCCATTAGAAGGCTGTTGAGGGCGCATGGGGCCTGCAGGAGGAGGCGTGGCCTAAGGACAGAACAGCGCCCCCTGGCAAAAAAAGTATTCCGCGACCGCTTACTTCGAGTAATGGACGGGCCGGCCCTGAGTGCATAGCAGAAAGCTCAGCTACATTTTTGCTTAGAAGAAAATTGACTATTCACCCCCATCAATATCTGCTCTGCTCCTTTTATAATGTGAATCTGTTGGAGAGCAAGAAAAATATGAGTAAATGATAGTTTTATTTGGCAAATTTGTAAAACTGAAGCATTGCTGACTTTGACGATAGATGGTTATCAGAGAAGTGAAGTTAAATCTCATGGTGTAGTGGCAGTGATTGTGTTAACAGTATTGAGTCAATTTTACTTCTATTCTTCTTCTTTAAAAAGGCAGTAATAAAACAAGCAGTGTCTTGTAACTTATAAATCTCCATCTTGATTTTGATGTATTTAGTGCTCATTGCAATATTGTGCTCTTATTAAATGGTAGTGTAACTGCAAACTAGATGTTAGTTAACATAAAAATGTACATATTTTTGTCCTTGACATTTTAAAGATGGTGTCAGGATGGAAAAATACTGATTCTTGAATAAATTATCAATTTGAGGCTTTGTTATAAGACAAAAGCACAACCTGATCCTGACTTTGTCTTATTAATCTATATCTCTTTGGAAACCATTATTTTGAGAAGTTCTTTTCTTTCATCAATTCAGGTTGCCCCTGCTATTAAAGAGAGGATGATGAAAAAAGGCAGCATGATGTTGGGGTACCAGCCACATCGTGGCAAAGCGAATTTCTTCCGCCAGGTTATTATCAGCCCTAAGGTGAGCCGTGAAGATATGGATTTCCTGCTTGATGAGATCAACTCACTTGGGAAAGATTTATAGTTGATGTTCCACAACATTTGTCTCTCCGTGTGTGTGCGTGTGCGTGTGCGTGTGTGTAGAGTTTCAAGATTAAGAATGTCTATGGCAGGACGGTGCTAGCCTTGGGACTGATGGGACAGTACTATGAATGCAAGAGTTTTGCTGACTGAAATGCTAATTAGTAAATGAAATGTTGACCTGACCAGTTGTACATGTTGAGTTGCAGATGTATTTCCATCTACTGGGTTCCCTTTTACCTGAAACATTATTTTCTGTAGAAGTCAAAATATTGAAATTTGTGCTTCCTCTCTTCTCTGATGTTTTGAAAAAATAATTGTATATTGTTTCTGAATCACAGTTCATATCTCTATTGCTCAAATGTCAGTAAAGTATTTCTGAAGTATTTTAGATGCATATTAAAGACAAAGAAAATTTAGAGATATATATGTATCTTTAAATATATGGATGGGTGGATGGGTGGATGCATTGATGGGTGGCTAGTGTGTGTCTCCTGGAGCTGTATTTTTTTATGCTGTGTGGCTATTTAAAGTAAGGGTTACTATATTGATTAACCCACTGGTGTGTTTTTTAATGATGTCATCTGAGCAGAATGTAATTTGGGAAAATACTAAAGATAAGATAAATTCATTTTGAAATGTGCTCATGATTTTCAAATAGAGACGTAGTCGGAAAGCTGCAAAGACCCATATTGGTTTCTTTCCCCCATTGAATTAATTTACTGCTATATGTTTTAACAAACTCATGATCATTTTTGCATCACTGTTGGACTTCCAACTGTGTTTGCAAAGCTGAATTTGGAGGTTACATTCATAGTGTGGTGTAATTAATTTATTAGAGATTTGTTTTACTTGCTGCTATCAGTTCTGTATGACATAAAATGTATTTATAGCGTATAACAGAATTTTCCAGCTTCAGCACTGTGGTAGTACCTTTTTAGTAGCATATTCAAGTCTGATGAACAACAAACCCCTGGGTTTTTCATTGACTATTTTAATTAAAAGTAATTGATAACTCTTCAGAATAAATTCAGTCTCTTAAAAAACAGCCTTGACTATTGTCAATTTCTCAAATTCCAAATGTTCCAGCTTCCTCTATGCCTTTTACACTAATAATTTTCCTCCTTGTTTTTGCAATGTGCTGTCATGTTGACTTTGATTTATGGCATCTGTGTGAATGAGAGTCCTGCAAGTCAACCTATCTTCAACTGCTCTTCCCAGATCTTGAGACTCTGAGCCATGGAATCCTTGATTAAGTCTATCCATTTAGAATGAAGTCTTCCTCCTTTCCTCCTACCTTCTATCTTAACAGGCATTATTGCCTTTTCTAGTGATCCATGTTGTCTCATTATATAGCCAACATACAACAGCTTGAGTTTTGTCCACTTGGCTTCTAAGGTGAGTTAGAGGAATGGAAAAAGTGGTTGTCAGGAAGGGGGGGGGCAAAATAGTAGGCCTGCATTTCCCCTCCTAATCCACAGCCTACAAGCAACTGCCTGCAAACATGCATCTTTATTGTTTCCTACCTCTGCTGTGCTCCATTAATAAATCTCACAGGGCCACTGTCTCTCTCTGCCAAGATAATTTCCTTGGCGGCTTCACTGTTTATTATTGCTACTACTTATAGGTCAGACAGTCATGGCAGGTTGACGTAAAAGAGAAAGAGAACCTTGCGGTATCCTGATTTATAGCAAACTCTTATCAGCTGTTGACACCTCCAGAACTGACTCTGTTTGATCAGAAAGTTTCTTACTCTGCCTTTCTAGGCACTCACTGAAACATCTTTATACCCTTGGTGACCTTGTTTCTTCATATGCATTAAGGATTATCCCTTTTTCCTAATACATATAACTCCAACAGTGGCTACTATGGAACCTCAGATTCAGCATTCTTCATCCATAACTGGGATCTGAACTCCACTGGCTGACTCTCAAAGGAGATATGGATAGGATACCTAAAAGGAAGAAATGTCTAGATAAAGGTAAAGGCAAAGGGTGAACAGGATATAATTCACAAGTCAGCACAGTAGAGTTCTCTGATTGCTACAATTGCTTTACTCCAATTTAAATCTTGCTCTTGTCTTCATTACAATCTTGAAAAGTTGAATAGTCAAACACTACCCTTCACTTCTGAGGTCCCACCATTTCTAAACACTGTATCATATACCAAACTAAGAAAATCAGTAGCACAGGATTAGTAAACAAGTAGCATTTGAAACTCTACCTAGCCATAGAAACCCACAGGTGGTCATTGGCAAATCACATTCTCACAGCCTTAGAAAATGGCAAAGGCACCTTCCCACGTTGAACAATTATTTCCAAGAAAAACCCATGATAGCCTTGGAGTTACTATACGTTTGAAGTAACTTGAAGGCATAAAACGATGAATGAATGGAGAGAGAAGCATAATATCCTATGCACACATACATATGCAGCTGTCAATTGCTCCCTTGGTTCAAACAGCTTGTCAGGTAAGTATATTTTCTCGCTTCCTTGGTTTTATATTATGATACTGTGGGGGCACCTTGGTTGTCCTCATGAAGAAAATGGTGTTAACAAATTACTGAGTCTATGACATTGCAATCCTGTACCAAAAAGGGCCAGGGTTTAGCACAGGAGGTTCACTATCAGCTGCAGTAAATCTTGCTAATCGGAAGGTTGGCAGTTCAAAGCCCAGGTCAGGGCGAGCTGCTGACCTTCAGCTCAGCTCCTGCCAATCTAGCAGATTGAAAACAGCAATTGTGGGTAAATAAATAGGTACCGCTTTAAGAGTGGAGAAGTATTTAGGAATAAGGAAATGCCAGAAAATGCTGATGATTTGATCAAAAGGAGGAAGTTTGTGAACAAAAGCTCTTCAGCAGATGGAGCAACAGCAACCCCCCCCCCCCCAGTGACTGGAATCAAGCACAGCCTCCAAGATACTAAAGGTGGGGAAAAACTTATATATACCTTTATCTATGTACAGTCTTGTTTTTGTATAACGGCATTTAATGTTTGCTGTATATGTGTTCCATGATCCACTCTGAATTCCTTTTGGGATGAGAAGGATGGAATATACTGTAAATACTGTAAATAAATAAATAAAAGGAAGCCACATTCATTTTGATAGATTTTACTTCCAAATGAGATCCCAACCTAACAGTCCATTTGTTGGTTGAAGGGTGGGGTTGGGGTGATGATAGTTTTTCATTGCAGTTTTATAATCCAGAAAAACATATTGTCAGAAGAGACCTAAGATACTGCCCAAACTTAAAAGAAGTAGGTATACCACCTTGCAAAATTGTAAAAGGCTGGTGGTGTGGAAAACAAAATTATGTGTTGTATCCAGTGCAAGCAATCCAGGTGCCCCCATTTCAAGTTTCTTCATTGATACCTCTAAAATCACCACTTCTTTTGTGATGTTTTGTCTTCTTCTTCTTTTGTGCCAGCCCAATTTATTGCAAGAATAAGGTGAGAACATCACCTAATTGTCCATGTATTGTCCTTTTGTCTCATTTTCCTCCCTCCTCTAGAAAGGAGAAACAGTCTAGAAGTGTATTGTCGAAGGCTTTCATGGCCGGAATCCATGGGTTGTTGTAGGTTTTTCCGGGCTATATGGCCATGTTCTGGAGGCAATTTTTCTCCTGACGTTTCGCCTGCATCTATGGCAAGCATCCTCAGAGGTTATTACCTCTGAGGATGCTTGCCATAGATGCAGGCGAAACGTCAGGAGAAAAATTGCCTCCAGAACATGGCCATATAGCCCGGAAAAACCTACAACAACCCAGTCTAGAAGTGCTTAGGGATTCTGGAAGTTGTTGTTCTGAAAGTTAATTTTCCAACTTTTTATCCCCCCCCCCATCCTTTTTTCTACACTTGCATGCCAACAGTGCATAAAGGAATGTGAAAACATCCCAGGCCTTTGCAAAATGGAATACCCACTGCACAATTCTCATTGCTGTTAAAGCTAAATTTTTGTTGTCTGACTCCAAAGTGTCTCCCATGGATCTACAGGTCATCTGGGAACTTGAGTTTGCAAACTTCATTGGTGAGCAGCTTTTCGTATGCCCTGAGTGAAGGGGGCATTTTTCAGATCATGGCTAGCCTGTCTATTTTTATAACGCAAGAGCTGTTTCAGATACTTAGCATATGCTATGTATTACTCTGATTCCTGAATTAGCATACAATATAGCATTGCAACAGCTCCAGCCAGCAAAACACTGCTCCTTCTCACTTATTCCTGTGGATTTGAAATGATCTTATCCCTTAATTATGTCAGCAAATCCAGGCAAGTTATCAAACTCTAAGAAATTATCCAATCTCCATTCTATCGGTTGGCTAGTATCTTCTGCAGAGGGAGGAGGGGAATTGTTCTGCCAAAATATTGTAATTGTGCAAATAATGTAATCGCACATAAATTCACAATGTCATGATTAGACATGCTAATTGCAGACTGAATGCAGAACTCAAAACAGCTCCAGTTGGCAAATGTATTGTGTACCTCAAGTGGAAGGGGACAAAATGGAGGAATTTCCCTCCCATTTATAATTGAATCACACCATACAAAATTAGATGCTATTGTTTCGAATATTGAATTACCTATTATTGTAATTTAGTAACTAGAAAATAATTAAACAGGAGTGATATTGAAATGCAATGGGAAAAAGGCAATTTGGAATGCTAACAGGAAAATTATCAAGAACAGGTCTGGGGGTGATCCGATGAACATTTCATACAGTCCTAATTGACAATAGCATATGTTAATTGCTGTATTGTGATAGAATTAGTGAATGTTGATACTGACTGCATTCAAATCAGTGTGCTGAATCCAGATTTAGGACCATGGAACTGAGTTTGGGGAAGTAGACATTTCCCTTACTACCTCCTCCTCATACTAGGTACTCCAGCCCACTGAAAATTATGCAAAATTGATTGGAAAACACCTCCCTCCACAAGAGGGGATGTACTGTGAAAGAAAGTGTTGTAACCTGATTAGAGAAGGCCTCCTCAGATGGGAAGATAACAACCAAGATAACAAGTCAGAGCAAGAGGATGTTAGCAATCCAATCATGGCACTGGCAGAAATGGAGCCTTGCTCATCCCAGACAATGCTTCAAGTCAGGAGGAAGATACATTGGCACTTCAGAGCATCATAAATTAAAATGCCAGTTGCAAATTTTCAGGAAATACCCTACCCCACTTTCAAAGGAAGATGCTGAACTAACAAGGCTGCTTTACTGCTAAAATAGCTCAGTCAACTTGCATTGCAGTAAGCAAATCACTCCAACAGTCCTTTTCTGTTTTTGGACTTTATGGCTCCCTGAACATAAGCATGTAGCTTGGATTCATCTTTCGATTAGCTCCTATTTTGGTTTTAGATCTGTTTAGGACTCTTTATCCAATTTGGAACTCAGAATGTGTATGACCTTAGATTTGCCTGGTTTTCTGCTATTTTCTCCTGTGAACTCTGAGTGCATTCACCTGGACACTTGCCAGACTTAAGTAGAACAGGGAAGCCCTGAAAACTGAGCAAATGTGACTCCCATCCATAGAGGGCATCTCATAAGAACACCAAGTAGAGGAATAGCAGATGAGACTAAAGTCTTGGCTAGTTCAGGGTTCTCAAATTTATTTATTTATGAAATTTATACCCATCTATAATGATTAGGGACTTATTTGTGAACAAATCCCACCAGCTGTACCACCACTTGTAATGGTGTAATTAAAATCAAAAGCTGTAAAAAGCTGGAACACTCTCCTGGCCAGATAACCTTTTAAAGAACACTGGCTACCACCACACTTAATAGAAACATTTAGCCCTTGGCTTGATTTGAGGTATCTTTAGGCTAGAATATGCTGGGTTTGCACTTAGGCTTTGTGTTCTGCGGTAACAATAAGGAGATTTCTTTTTAAAATACACGCTGCCACCATTAACTTAGATTTCTTCTATAAACTGCTTTAGATCTTCACACACAGAGGCACACTGAGACAGGGGTGGTGAACAAATAACAATGTTGTTTATTTGAGAGATTATGAACAATAAAGGCTTTAAGCTTGGCGGTTTCAATAT